GTTTATAAACTAAAAGAGGAGGCAGTTAGGGTAAGATATAAACAGCTATTGGAGGATAGATGGGCTAATGAGAGCATAGGAAATGGGGTCGAAGAGGTATGGGGTAGGTTTAAGAATGTAGTGTTAGAGTGTTCAGCAGAAGTTTGTGGTTACAGAAAAGTGGGTGCGGGAGGGAAGAGGAGCAATTGGTGGAATGATGATGTAAAGAGAGTAGTAAGGGAGAAAAAGTTAGCATATGAATAATTTTTACAAAGTAGAAGTGATGCAAGGAGGGAAGAGTATATGGAGAAAAAGAGAGAGGTTAAGAGAGTGGTGAAGCAATGTAGAAAGAGAGCAAATGAAAGAGTGGGTGAGATGTTATCAACAAATTTTGTTGAAAATAAGAAAAAGTTTTGGAGTGAGATTAACAAGTTAAGGAAGCCTACAGAACAAATGGATTTATCAGTTAAAAATAGGAGAGAAGAGTTATTAAATGGAGAGTTAGAGGTATTGGGAAGATGGACTGAATATTTTAAGGAATTGTTAAATGTTGATTAAGATAGGGAAGCTGTGATTTCATGTATAGGGCAAGAAGGAATAACATCTTGTAGGAGTGAGGAAGAGCCAGTTGTGAGTGTGGGGGAAGTTCGTGAGGCAGTAGCTAAAATGAAAGGGTGTAAGGCAGCTGGGATTGATAGGATAAAGATAGAAATGTTAAAAGCAGGTGGGGATATAGTTTTGGAGTGGTTGGTGCTATTATTTAATAAATGTATGGAAGAGGGTAAGGTACATAGGGATTGGCAGAGAGCATGCATAGTTCCTTTGCATAAAGGCAAAGGGACAAAAGAGAGTGCAAAAATTGTAGGGCGATAAGTCTGTTGAGTATACCTGGTAAACTGTATGGTAGAGTTATTATTGAAAGAATTAAGAGTAAGGCGGAGAATAGGATAGCAGATAAACAAGGAAGCTTTAGGAAAGGTAGGGGGAGGACCAGGTGTTTACAGTGAAACATGTAAGTGAACAGTATTTAGATAAGCCTAAAGAGGGTTTTGTGGCATTTATGAATTTGGAAAAGGCGTATGACAGGGTGGATAGGGGGACAATGTGGCAGATGTTGCACGTGTAAGGTATAGGAGGTAGGTTACTGAAAGCAGTGAAGAGTTTTTACGAGGATAGTGAGGCTCAAGTTAGAGTATGTAGGAAAGAGCGAGATTATTTCCCAGTAAAAGTAGGCAAGGATGTGTGATGTCACCGTGGTTGTTTAATATATCTATAGATGGGGTTTGTAAGACAAGTAAATGCAAAGGTCTTGGGAAGAGGCATGGAGTTAAAGATAAAAAATCACTTAAAAAGTGGGAGTTGTCACAGTTGCTCTTTGCTGATGACACTGTGCTCTTGGGAGATTCTGAAGAGAAGTTGCAGAGGTTGGTGGATGAATTTGGTAGGGTATGTAAAAGAAGAAAATTAAAAGTGACTACAGGAAAGAGTAAGGTTATGAGGATAACAAAAAGATTAGGCGATGAAAGATTGGATATCAGATTGGAGGGAGAGAATATGGTGGAGGTGAATGTATTCAGATATTTGGGAGTGGACGTGTCAGCAGATGGATCTATGAAAGATGAGGTGAATCATAGAACTGATGAGGGGAAAAGGGTGAGCGGTGCACTTAGGAGTCTGTGGAGACAGAGAACTCTGTCCTTGGAGGCAAAGAGGGGAATGTATGAGAGTATAGTTTTACCAACGCTCTTATATGGGTGTGAAGCATGGGTGATGGATTGTGGGGTGCGGGATTGCCAAAACTGTTGTCCAGAGGGCTGAGGAAGGGTTGTTGAGGTGGTTCGGACATGTAGAGAGAATGGAGCGAAACAGAATGACTTCAAGAGTGTATCAGTCTGTAGTGGAAGGAAGGCTGGGTAGAGGTCGGCCTAGGAAAGGTTATAGGGAGGGGGTTAAGGAAGTTTTGTGTGCGAGGGGCTTGGACTTCCAGCGGGCATGCGCGAGCGTGTTTGATAGGAGTGAATGGAGACAAATGGTTTTTAATACTTGACGTGCTGTTGGAGTGTGAGCAAAGTAAGATTTTGAAGGGATTCAGGGAAATCGGCAGGCCGGACTTGAGCCCTGGAGATGGGAAGTACAGTGCCTGCACTCTGAAGGAGGGGTGTTAATGTTGCAGTTTAAAAACTGTAGTGTAAAGCACCCTTCTGGCAAGACAGTGATGGAGTGAATGGTGGGAATCGGCCAGTGTGTTTATATATAATATATATATATATATATATATAATATATATATATATATATAATATATATATATATATATATATATATATATATATATATATATGCAAAACAATCGTTGATATGCGATCTAAACATTGCAAGACAAGCCATGTGGGGTGGAAATCTTTAGCTCACGTACTTTCACACTTCTCAGTGCATCACCAGGAGCTGTGCAATGTTACACAGGCAACAACAAAAGAAATAGGGTAAGTTTTCAGAGTGTGGTAGTGTTGAGCCAGTCAGCCATCCAGTCTCTGTTCGAGAGAGAGAAGCGGGATGGCAGCACACTCCGGTCCCCTCCCCCTACAACCCCTAATGCGGATGGGTGGGGTAAGCCTCACAGTCAGCAGATAGCATGAGGAAATACTAGGAGATAGTTAATAGCCAGCCCCAAACTTCTCACCGCCGGGAACAGGTCATGTGACTCAAAAAGTTACAATATTGCATCATTACATATAGGTAATAGGCGGGCTTTTCAGCCCAACACAAGCGAGTATAAGGCTCTTGTCAGTATCCGGTTATTCAATGAAATATTTACACAACACACCTAGGGGTAATTAAACTTATAAGCACTCGTATCCGACAGCCACGTGGGTCGTAGAACATTTGTTTCACATAGAAGGTAACAATCGTCGGAGGCTGCGAGTGGGCAGAGACTCCAACAACACTAAATAAATTGTTTTTGTTGTAATAAGGTTAGGTAAGTTTTCTAAGATTCCTTTGGAGCAAAATTAAAAAATTTTACATTAACATTAATGAAAAAAAAATATATCTTTAAACGTATAAGAGAAAATTTTAGAAAGGACTTAATTTTAAATGAGTTCTTGCTAAATTACCAGTTTTACATATTCGGCACGACAATATGTATATATATATATATATATATATATATATATATATATATATATATATATATATATATATATATATATATATTCGTCCCAAAACTAAATTTTAATTCAAGCTAATTTTGATATTTTCCGGTCAGTGTTTGTTTATATAGGGTGTTGGCTACTTTATTAATATTTTATTTACGTCATTGTGACTATTCTGCCTATTGAAGTTATCTCCCTGAATCTCTTTTATGTAGCTTGTGTTAGGGCGATATTGTGTGTCTTTCTTACGTCATGATACAAGACTCAACTGGATACTTCCCAGTTTAATCATTATTGCCAAGCAAATACTCTGTTTCCAGTGCTCCCACTCGCCTGTATGTACTAATCCAGGCTATATTATGCTATATTGTTCCTGGTTCTGTCAGGGTTGTGTATTAATTATAGACATAGGGCTATCATGCCATTAGTGCATATAAATATTTAACTTTTGAACATTGCTAGTGTGACAGTGACAATGTCACTTACCTCATGGAGTCACTGATCACTGCTGGAGTGTCAACTATATCCAGTGATACTGGATATGACTGCCACATGGCCATTGATTTATTTCCCGTAAGAGTTCATATTAACACTTTTTCCATGAGAAATTAGTGGATTTTACTCTCATATTAATAATTTAGGCTGAATGTTTATTGATAATATAACTATATTATTTCCTTACATCCTTCTTTTTTCCTCCTTATACATGTGCGCTTCTAATATTCATTGTTTTACTTAATTATATCAGTTACACACTAAAAATATTTCTTTATAATACAACTTCCATTAAAGCCACTTTATTGCCACTGTTTCTGATTATTATTGTATTTAGCTTAATGGTGAATCATTTAATACTTACCATTGGTAGTTTATTGTATAGCGTAGTGAACTGTTAGTGTATTCTTGTTATAAAATTTACATAATGTTAATAATGTTGTACCTTGAGTAATGACTTTATTCCTTGTATTGACAGCCTATAACTGTATCACACAGATCGACACCATGCCCAGCCCTTCTAGGGTAGGGTAGGTGCCTGAGCCCGAGCCTTTAGCTCATAAGACTGTCATTGCCATTAGCCCCCTTGGGGCGGGGATGGCAGACCAGAGAGGCCTAGCTTGTGGCTAGGCCTGGGGACAGTTGGTCCCAAAGATGAGGAGGTACTTGTGCCTCCTCCCATGGGAGACTTAGGTCTCAGACACTCCCTAAAGAGGGAGCCAAGGCCGGGCCAACCACTTGGAAAAGGCCCGGGCCACCAGAATACCGGCGAATCTTTAATAATAATAATAAATGTATCATACACATACATTTATTTTAAATATTAGTTCAGTAAATTTTATAATTTTGATATCACTTTCATTTATAATTGGTTCTTCATTATCATCTTCCTGGACTGACTGTGTCTTTATATTTCATTAACTTTAAACTGTAGCTGAAGTTTTCTAAGACTTATCAGACACAGACCATTCTATGAATATTTTAATTAAGCTTGAAGTTTGATGTCATTTTATTAAAACCAACTCAGCGGCTCAAGTCTGAAGGGATCTTAGTATCTGATCAAACAGACTATTAATATTCTACTTCCTTACAAAGCGGGAGGTAATCATTAATCAAACACACAATATAATCTAAGCGCGTAATAATGGAGCCAGTGATATGTTTGTTAAACTTGTTAATGTTGCTACTGTGTTGTCTGGCGGTGCTGCCTTGCTACTGGCATGTGTATGAACTAAGTACGGGTTATAACATCATAAATGAAACTCAGTTAAGGAGGAAACCAAGTTCGTAATACAAATACCTAAATGTTTGTTTAAAAAAAAGAAAAAAAATGATAAACAATTATATAGCTAATGAACATGGAGGAGCTACTTACGCTCTTCAAGTTGAAGTGTTGGATTTTGTCTAGGTAGGTAGGAAGCTCAGTGAGAAGAGTGTAGAAGCCCCAGTTGTTACCAAAGTGGACCACGATTATGGCCCATATTGGCAGGGATGTTAACACCGCATTCCATGGTAGCGGCAACGCCTGCCACAAAAAATTACGGTGGTTGCTTTCTGCTATCCTACCATCATAGGTTGGTAGACAGTAACTATTACTTACTTATATATATTTAATAACTCATTTACAGGACACTAAGAAAACACTGTCGACGACATACCATTGGGTAAAACATTGTATCATTTTTAAATTATTATTATTATTATGCTGTTGTGTAGCCCTTGTGGCTTAGCGCTTCTTTTTGTTTGTAATAATAATTATTATGCTTAATCTATACAAGAAATTTACTACTTTAAATAATGTTCTGCATCATTAGCGGCTTTTCACTAACTTATTATTCATGCCACTTACTTATTTTAAACAGTTTGAGATATGAATTTCATACCGGCAAATCCCTAATGAATGAATATGAATTTCCATTTCAAACCTCATTATTTTCATTCTCCTTCTCAAATGCGGACTAGTTTCTATCAACACTTTAGTTTACTTAAGTTACTAATCATCAGAGAATAATATCAAAGAAACCTGTATTTATACGTGGGTAACTATAAATATTTAATTGCTTTTACATACCTTTTCTCTTTTCTTGCCACAGTAGTGTAAAATGTATTCTTGTTCTTCTTTAGTTATTCTGGGATGAAGCTGTGGATCGTTGAACGCCAGCAGGAACCAGGGTATGGTCCATACAACACCCAGAGCACCAACAATGTAGAACACAGACGGCCATCCTCCCATGAAGTCAGAGTCACACAACCAACCGCTAGACGCCATAGTTGCCACTGTCCCGAGCTGCACTCCTGATCAATTTGTAAACAACATTTAATATCACCATTAACATATGAATATAAAGAAAGGAAGTATCTAAAAAAAAAAACAGAATAAACGTTTAAATTTTGTGTTGGGGATTTTTCACATGTAAGTAGGCAAGAAAGTAAGCTTTTTTATATTTTATTTAAAACAATGGCAGTACAGTATATAAAAAAATAAAATAACACATGAACTAGCCGTTGACAGATATAATGACCTACCATTACCCAAACCGTACCACATGCACACCTTCGTGTGGGTACTCTCCAACCTCACCCGTTACCCAACCCGTACCTTGTCCTATAGCTCACAAGTTGACACCAGAGTATGCTGCTAACCAGCAGAGAATATGTACATGTTTATATGCAAATAACAATGTTATACATCTCCGTGAATGATTAAACTGCGATCACAGGACCGCGTGCATAATCTCTATCACTTTTCAACGATAGGTTTTGACCATAACAATAAAAACATCACACAATATTATATACATAGCGCACATCGAATAATTTATAACAGGTGACAGTACCTACTATGCCTTAATCTCACCAACACGAAAGGGGTGGGATCCTCCCCCCTCCCTTTTGCTGTGCACCCACTCCACGTAACAGAAACACAAGAATACAATAATAAAAATTGGTACAATAGCTCATGACAAAAGTCCCCTACTTATACATACAAGAGCCTTGTAACAACCTCCACAGAGTGGTCTTCAGGTCTCTTTGCACACTAACATCAGCCATAATTATGTATCTATTGTAACAATCAAGACATTTCCACCAACATAGTGTACATTAGGTACCTACCAGTCCTATTACAACCTCACTAACGGGTGGGCTCTCACCCCTCACTTCCCCGAATGCTGTTCGCACCTATCCATCTACCCCCTAACTAACATAAGAAAGCAATAATACAAAAAAGAAAATAGCCATCTTATGACAGTGGTATAGCACTGGTGTACACAACTGATAGGATTACTAAGAGAATATTCAGTTCACTGTCCTTGCACGTCGAAAAGTGCCATTTACACATATTCTCTTCCTCACACACCCACACACACACACATCACCCACTCACTCCCAGGAGGCGACCCCGTCTCAGTCCCTGACTACCCCACCCCTTAAGTTGCTCATTCCCTCCCCTGTTCACAAATCCAATAAAATCCCTAATGTTAGTTCTCTGTAACCCTCCAAAAAAGCCACCTGTCATCTATTCCCGTAAATTTCCCTACTGAGTCACCACATACGGTAGAACACTAGAACACTGCCACTAAAACCCGCCGCCTCACCTCGCAAACCCACCGCGCCCGCATAACCCTCAAGATATATGCTTAGTCAACCATGACGTATGCCAAAGCCCTAGTGATGCCCTCCTCCATCCCTCCCACATCTAGACTAAGTGCCCGCAGCACTGACACCCCATGTCCTCTGCGAGGGAAAAGTTCAGTAGATAGGAGTAGCGAGGGAGTATATAGTAACAATAGTTTCATTGCCGGCTATATTGTTAAGGTAGGGTAAGTCAAGCTCCCGCTATTCCCCCCCCCCTTTTCCCCCTCCCCGAAAGTGATAGTTTGATTGCCGGCTGCTTGTTAAGGTAGGGTCAGTCTAGCTCCCACTATCCCTTCCCCTCCCTCTTCCCCCCCCCCGAAAGGTGAAGTGTGGGGCTCCGGTCAAACAGTAAATCACTCGACTCACAGCTCCCAACACTACTGTAAGTACATGCCTGATCATATTTTAGTGGACCTATTGGTTGAAAGCTTCACTTTTGACTAATAATTAACTTAGTCTTTTCAGTCTTGATAGGTTAAATGTTTTAATAATCACCACATCTTTTAGGTATTGTACTTATCATGGAGAGTGATTTCTTAAGCAGTGGGTAATCTGTCTCTCTTTACAGCTTGAAATGACAGAGAGGGTCACCTGCCAATCAACGAGTAGAATTGAAGGAGATGGACTAACGTTCTGAGACATCCCAATTTCTGATCCACTTACCTGCAAGTAGCAGGATATAACCCATCATAATTGCAGTGGAAAAAACCTACTTTCCTGTCATCTGGACGGATTATTGACGGCTATAAAATCAGTGAAGAACGAGCCGGTGGGTTGTCACCAACACCTGCGACCCCCCCCCACATCAGCACCGGCTACTATTTCAACAACATGTAGTGTCACCAAACCAGACACCCAAGCTTTATATATATATATATAATATATATATTATATAATATATATATATATATATATATATATATATATATATATATATATATATATTAGCGTTGAATTCAGATATCATTTATATTTTTCATTTTTTATTTTCTTTAAGGTAGGATCAATATTTCATATTTAAGTGTTTTATATTTTATATTTTCTAAATAATAAAGTGTTTATGTTTGTCAGTTTATATTCTTTTTCTATTCATTAATTTTCCTGAGGAGGAGCCAGCCTTGGTAATACTGACTGAAGTTGTTACAGGGCTGAGTAAGCCTTCACAAGTGGCGACCTTGCCAGGATTCGACTCTACTGAATCAAGATTCAACTCCATCTCGAATCTACCATTGGAGCTTCAACGCTGCATACCACAGACGGTTACCACCAGCCATTAGTAATCATTCTCTATGGTAGGACTACGGTACAGGTATTTAAAAGATTTGGTGATTGTTATAGTCTCAATTTATTGTAAGTCAAGTCAGGCAGGATATAATATTTAATTTTGCCACCTTTTTGAGCTTGAAACACTTTGGAGGATTAGACTCTAGGGACCCGAGATTTTCCAGTGACAATTTGTTTCATTGAGCTCTTTATTATATCAAGGGAACTGTCGTAGGACACTCTTGATTTGTTGGTGAGAAGATTGGATGGTCAAGGGACCCCATTCTAGTTACTGTTTGCTCGGAGACGTCATAGAACCCTTCGTTTTAATTAATACATATTGTTTAATTGAAGTAGGGATCGAGCCCTCTGGTTTATTTACAGTTTGAGCAGAGCAGGAATTGAACCCTCTGTTTTCTTTGATACCCATTTCCTTTTTCCCCAGTAGTTTAAGTTATTCTTGCAAGTATGGAGGAATATCAGTTTTGGATGAATGCTGGAAATAAGTTAGGAATAACAGGGAAAAATTTAGAATCTTTCATTAGTGCTAAAATCCAGGAAAGAATTGAAAAGGAGAGATTGAGAATCGAAAGAGAAGAGGAAAAGGAGAGATTGACAATCGAAAGAGAAGAGGAAAAGGAGAGATTGACAATCGAAAGAGAAGACAAAAAAGAGCGTGAAAGACTTGATCGTTAGGAGAGAGCTAAGGTACGTGAGGAACAAGTTAAATTAAGGGAACTTGAGGAAAGAGCAAAGGATAGAGAATATGAGTTAAGGGAGAGAGAAAAGGATCGCGAGCTCGAACAAGCTCGCCTTGAATTAGAGAATAAAAAGCAAACTTTTTCACAACAGCAATTAGATGAAGGAGTAATGGAACAATGTGCAGCTAGTGCACATATTCCAACACCTAATTTACCTCCCTTCACAGAGGGGGAAGACATAACTTCATACATTATCAGGTTTGAAAATACTGCTACCCTCTGTGAATGGCCTGCTGACACCTGGGCTACCAGGTTAGGAATGGTATTTTCGGGCACCGCTTTGAATATCTATGCAACTGTGTCGCAGGATATCATATGTAATTATAACCTACTGAAGAAGGCAATCCTTAAGGTGCTTGTCCAGTGCCTGCTTGAAGACAGCCAGGGGTCTATTGGTAATCCCTATTATGTATTCTGGGAGGCAATTGAACAGTCTCGGGCCCCTGACACTTATTGTATTGTCTCTTAACATGCTAGTGACACCCCTGCTTTTCATTGGGGGGATGTTGCATCGTGTGCAGAGTCTTTTGGTTTCGTTGTGAGTGATTGCCGTGTGCAAGTTCGGTACTAGTCCCTCTAGGATTTTCCAGGTGTATGTAATCATGTATCTCTCCCGCCTACGTTCCAGGGAGTACAAGTTCAGGAACTTCAAATGCTCCCAGTAACTGAGGTGTTTTATCTCCGTTATGCGCGCCATGAAGGTTCTCTGTACATTTTCTAGGTCAGCAATTTCACCTGCCTTGAAAGGTGCTGTTAGAGTACAGCAATATTCCAGCCTAGATAAAACAAGCGACCTGAAGAGTGTCATCATGGGCTTGGCCTCCCTAGTTTTGAAGGTTCTCATTATCCATCCTATCATTTTTCTAGCAGATGCGATTGACACAATGTTATGGTCCTTGAAGGTGAGATCCTCCGACATGATCACTTCCAGGTCTTTGACGTTGATTTTTCTCTCTATTTTGTGGAAGGAATTTGTTTTGTACTCTGATGAAGTTTTAATTTCCTCATGTTTACCATATCGGAGTAATTGAAATTTCTTATCGTTGAACTTCATATTGTTTTCTGCAGCCCACTGAAAGATTTGGTTGATGTCCACCTGGAGCCTTGCAGTGTCTGCAATGAAAGACATTGTCATGCAGATTCGGGTGTCATCTGCAAAGGAAGACACGGTGCTGTGGCTGACATCCTTGTCTATGTCAGATATGAGGATGAAAAACAAGATGGGAGCGAGTACTGTGCCTCGTGGAACAGAGCTTTTCACTGTAGCTGCCTCAGACTTTACTCTGTTGACTACTACTCTTTGTGTTCTGTTTGTGAGGAAATTATAGATCCATCTACCAACTTTTCCTGTTATTCCTTTAGCACGCATTTTGTGTGCTATTACGCCATGGTCACACTTGTCGAAGGCTTTTTTGCAAAGTCTGTATATATTATATTTGCATTCTTTTTGTCTCCTAGTGCATCTAGGACCTTGTTGTAGTGATCCAGTAGGTGAGACAGACAGGAGCGACCTGCTCTAAACCCATGTTGCCCTGGGCTGTGTAACTGATGGGTATCTGGATGGGTGGCGATCTTGCTTCTTAGGACCCTTTCAAAGATTTTTATGATATGGGATGTTAGTGCTATCGGTCTGTA